GCCCCCCGGCCGGGATTTTTTGGGGCGTGTGCCCGAAACCCAGCCGCTCTGGCGCAAGAACCGAACGCCAGCCCCCCCTCCAACACACCCAAGAGCGCGGCAGGGGAGCCCAGAGCGCAGCCTGTCGCTGCCCTGCCTCCCCCTACCCCAACATGACCACAAGAAGCTAAGAACGATGCGACTACAAACTACTGCAGTCATGGCAAGAAGACGAGCTCCAGAGAAGGAATGACAACAGCCCAGCCACACAGCTGCCTGCTGCAGGCAGGCAGGAGCCTTGCTGGGCCCAGGTCTGCCGGAGCCTGCGCTGTCACGAGCCCTCCAGTTTTAAGAGGAAAAAATACGTTCATGACTGGCCCTTCCTCGTTATTCCCCCTTCTCCCACCACGTTCACAGACTTCAATTACAAACTCCCTCTACCTTTTCCATACATACCAAGCTCCACAAATCAGTATCTTCCAGACATTTCACAACACAAGACCTCCCTTCTCCCGACTTCTCTAGCATGCCTTTTGTGCCCCATTCTTTTAATTTTCTTCCTGAACACAGGCCCAGAACCGTACCGCATCTCCCTGCGATCTCACCACAGCAATGCCCAGTTTCCACACACTTGGAATGGCTTCAACAGTACAGATCGCATCTCCCTTGCCTTCCCTCCTGCTCCAGGTAACTGCCACAAGCCAAACCCCTGGGCAAAAGGCTAGTGCCCTCCCGGCTCCTCCTAAGCTGGGGTTTGCTGCGCTCCCCAGAATTAATCTCTTCTACCTACCCCCTCTGTAATGGGCAGCCACCGGGCTCCCTAACCGGAGCTGCAGCCACTGGCCCCCAAAGGATCCTTGCGGTCAGGCGAGCAACGAGGAGAGCACCCTCCGTGCCCCAGAGGGGACCCGAGCGGACCGGGCAGCCCCTGATCCTCCCCTCCCCGGCAGGCCAGCACCATCGTTACCTTCGGCAGGGTTCATGGCTGCATCGTGGAGCAACGTTGCTACACACCCGGCTGCACCTGCAAAACAAGAACTGCCACACGTGAGGGGGTGGAGGCGAGGGACCCCAGGGCTCCACCACAGCCCCGAGTCCCCCGCCAAGGCACAGGAGGAAGCCCCCGGAAGAGGGCGAAATCCAAAGGTGGCCTCCATCTCCCCTCCAAGAGACGGGCCGGTCCTCAGCGGTTCCCACCCGGAGA